TACAATGGTTGCAATGTCCCAGGGTCATGGGATGACTATTTGTGACTTTCCATTTGGTTTTCTTCCGCAAAGTCAATTGGGAAATCTGTATTCACTTAACTGCAATGATTTGCTTAACAACTGTGGCAAACAAGATCATAAAATTTGGTACAGTTCCACTTAGCAACTGCCTTGCTGAGTGACAGGAAGTCTGTTCCCAATTGTGGTTGCTAAGTCGAAGACTATCTGCTCTTATCAAATGAATTCAACAATGCAACTGTAGCTGCTGCAACTTGAAAATAAAATACTGCCAGTGGTAGTAATGATCTATAAAAATGCAATGATGAAATTCCATTTCAAGCCACCGCTTCTGGTTTTTTATTATTATTATTATTATTGGTATGTGAATAGAAGCTAAACATCAAAAGGCGGGGCATAGGGTGTTTTTGCACAATGATGTTCTTCTGGTTATTCATCTTCACAATAAACACTATAATTTGACCTAGCCAAAAAATGTATACTAAACAATATTTAGGACTATCTGTTCCAAGCCAATTTCTAAAATTACACATTTAGCCATAGCATGAGAAGAAACTGGCAGTCATGAGTCTGGGTGGAGTTCTTTCAGTCTTTGCTTAGGCCAATCAAAGATATAGCGTCTTCAGCTCCGATCACCAACCCCCCCCCCAAAAAAAAAATATGTAGGACAACAAGATAAATCTGTAACACTGCTGATCTCAAAGCTTCCCTTGTTTTCACATAATAGTGTTCTATGCAAAATAAAATAGACTTAAGTCAAGAAAAACTTAATTACTGTTGTGTGGCTATTTCAAAACATTTTCCACCCAGGGGAAAGTCAATTCTTTTCACATTTAAATATGAACTTTGATTTTAAATATAATCATATTTTGAATAATACGCCAAACTGCCTTCTAATTACAGAGGTACAAGTTGTTTCACATATACAAACGAAGCAAATTTCAGTTAACACACCGCGACATAAAAATGTAACATATAGACGTTTTTTAAAAAAAACATACCTTTTGCACTCATAAAAACTAAAAAGTCTATTAAAAACAACCGAGGGAAACAAAAGAAAAAGCTGCATTTCATTAACTATTCCTTGATGAAGATTAATGTTGCTGTCCACATACCAGTGTTCCTACATGTCTTTGCTTAGCCCGTGTAAGATGGAATGTGTATCTGTGGTTCAGCAAGTTAAATATATAAATTTGAACTTGGTTTATAACTTTGAATCCTACTCACTTTAGGTCCATTAACTTGGCTAAGAAACTCCACTTCACTTAGCATTCAAGATAGCTATGATTATCTAACTGCAGGATGCCTTGTATTCCTAAGCACTCGGTTGAACAAGTTTTCAACTTTGAAAGTCAAAACTAAAAGCAAAACAGTTGTGATTCATTGCCCACACTTTAAACTTCACCACTTTTGAGAATAAGACAAAGGTGCACAAACTTCCCTAAAATCTTGGACACACATTCGTAAGACCTCCAAATCTTGTTTCCCAGCCATCATTTCAGCGTGACAGATGAGTGAAATAATTAAATACCAGACTGAAGGATGATTATATTACCTACATTTAATTTTTATTAACCTTTAATATAAATAAAATTAAACCAAATTTAGGCTTTCCATTAATTCTAGTGCTTTTTGTGACTGAGTGATTTGAGTGATCCAGATGCCCACTCAAAAATGTATTTCTACAAAGTATGCATTTACAGGGAAAAAAACAACTTTAATAATCTATATAAATAAAAATGTAAATGTTCGTTTGTTCAAAATCTTAAATCTCCGAAAGTTCTTCACTGATTGCTTTGAAATTTTGACACAACGTTGCATTCGAATACGTGCGTGTTTTTATATACCTACTATTATATAGATGTCACACTTGTGACAGGTAAAAACATGGTTTTTTTTAAAAACAGTGCCATCTGTTGGACATAAAAGCACACTTTTCTTTCTTTTCCATTTAACCAGACTGAGCCACAGCAACGCGTGGCCAGGTACAGCTAGTAGTAGTAGTAGTAGTAGTAGTAGTAGTAGTAGTAGTAGTAATAATAATAATAATAATAATAGCCTTCATAATAATTGACAACTATGTTGCTCCGCTTGAAAAACTATTTTTAAAAGGTAATACTTGAGTGTGTTAATTATATCCTCACACTGCTTCCTTGAATCCAGTGTGGCTTATGTGTTTTACAGAGGAAATAAGGAATGTAAAAATAACTAGCACACACATTCTCCCTTGCAGAGTTAGGAGTCCTCTGTCAGTAACAGAAATAATGTAGAAAAAAATATGGGTCTCCAGACATGCTGCTTCCTTTCAGTAGGGAGGGATTTAGTTTTATGTGGGAGCAGTAAAATTTAGTTTTATGTGGGAGCAGTAAAATGTAAAACTTAACTGAATGCAGTCTCAAAAAAGATATCAAGGAAAAGCTTCAGCAGTTGAGTATTGATTTATAAGATGTGCTCAACGATCAGTAAATAAAAGAAGATTAAAAAGCTTTCAGACATTACTTTGTTAAATGTTTGGTAAGGCTAGGAGTTCCAACTTTTCTCTATCATGATTCATCTATTTCTTGTGAGCTCGTATGGTAAAGGAAACCCAGTTTCTTGTCCACCGTTAGTGAAACAAAGTTCACTAAATGACTTTGAGCCCTTCATTCTCTTAGCTCAACCACTTCACAGGGGTTAGAATAGAATAGAGCTGGAAGGAACCTTGGAGATCTTCTAGTCCAGCCCCCCGCACAAGCATGAGAACCTATACCATCTCAGAGAAGGGACTTTCCAGTCTCTTAAAAACCTCCAGTGATGGAGCGCCCACAATTTCTGAAGGCAAGCTGTTCCACTGGTTAATTGTCCTCATTGTTAGGAACTTTCTCCTTAATTCCAGGTTGCTTCTCTCTTTGATCAGTTTCCAACCACTGTTTCTTGTCCTGCTCTCTGGTGCTTTGGAGAATAATTTGACCCCCTCTTCTTTGTGGCAGCCTCTCAAATACTGGAATACTGCTATCATGTCACCCCTATTTTTTCTTTTCTTTAGACTAGCCAAACCCAAGTCCTGCAGCCGTTCTTCATATATGTATGGCAGTGCTGAATGTCCCATATATGTATGGCAGTATCAGCATGTCCCAAAGATCTTGACAGACTGGCAACAAAATGCAATTTAGTAGCCAGAAAATTAAGATCTTATACTTAGGCAAGAAAAATCAAACACACAGGTATAGAATAGATCAGCGGTTCTCAACCTATGGGTCGCGACCCCATTTGGGGTCAATCGACCATTTCACGGGGATCGCCAAGCAAGGCTGTCCACCATTTTTTCCCCCTTTTCCGGAGGGTGCCTTACCTCCCTTGAGCTGGGCCAGCTGGTGGTCGGCCTGCTCCGTCTCTGCCGCTTGCCAGCTACGCCTCGGCCGGCGCAGGGGGCGGAACCACGCATGTGCGGCACTCCCGGGCAGGGAAAATCCTCAACTTACGATCGGTTGGGTAGTCCTCAACTTACGACCNATACTGTGTTCTGTTCTGGTCCCCACAATACAAAAAAGATGTTGAGACTCTAGAAACAGTGCAGAGAAGAGCAACAAAGGCGATTAGAATCCTGGAGGCTAAAACATATGATGAACAATTGCAGGAACTGGGTATGTCTAGACTAATTAAGAAAATGACTAGGGGTGATATGATAGTAGTCTTCCAATGTTTGAGAGGCTGTCACAAAGGAGAGGACAACGTATTCTCTAAAGTATCCGAGGGCAAGACAAGAAGCATCGGATGAAAACTTATCAAAGAAAGATCCAATCTGGAATTAAGGGAAAATTTCCTGACAGTGAGAACAATTAACCAGTGGAATGGTTTGCCTCCAGAAGTTGTGGGTGCTCCATCACTTGAGGTTTTTAAAATGAAACTGGGCAGCCATTTGTCTGGAATGGTATAGGGTCTCCTGCTTGAGCAGGGGGTTGGACTAGAAGACCTCCAGCATCCTTTCCAACACTGTTATTCTGTTAAATAAAAATACTATTTGAACCAGAATATTACAAGGCATTACATACATGATCTAAATCCCTTTAATTTATTCCAGACAAACTAAAGACACAACAACAGTATGCAAACAAGATAAACAGAAAAGTAAGACAATTGAGGTTCTTCTCTTTGGCAAGCTTGACTTGAGTGAAAAATGAAGATCCTCCCTCTGCCTTCTGCTCTTGGCTGAGCTACTTGTTGTCCAGTCACTGTCATCAACATCTCAGTCATCTTGGTTAATGAGAAATGGATCTTACCCTACTTGTGCCTCCTAGAAAGCTGACAGCCTTTTACAAATCTCAAAGTTTTTGCTAAAGCTACGATATGCATGCTTCTGAAGTGCAGGCTTATTTTAAAACAAGCTCAACAAAGACCAAAGCATTGAAAATTAAAGTTAACATGGCTCACAGCAGTAGATTATTATTTTATGTCTAAGATCATCTTGAAACAAAGGCAAAGCTGGGAAGAAAAGGTGATGTGGGCAGATAGAATTGGCAGTGAAAAATTGCCCACAACTCAAATTTCTGAGAGGCCACAACACATATAAATGGTGACCTCTTCTGCATCAGAAACATGTTGTTTGAAATGACCCATTCTCACCATAGGTGAGATTGCTTGTCACTTCCTTTAGAATAAGGAAACTGAGGAAAATATAAAAAGATAGATAATACCAACAGGGTCTGCAGTGTGTGTGTGTGTGTGTCTCTCTCTCTCTGTGTGTTTGTGTGAAAATGGGTAAAGTGGCAGTCTTAGCTCAGAGAGACAAGCTTTGTGCATTGCATATATGATTTGCTGAATGTAAACAGAGAATAGGGCTTCTATCACCATGCCATATCCACCATTTTGCCTAATTTGACCACCCCCATGGACATTGCTGGACAGTACCCATCTTTCAAACCTGGAATATATAGGTTTGTATACAGAATATACAGAATATCAATGTTATAAAAAATCTAAAGAACTTATTTTTAATGCTGTACCTGTGAGGTAGGTATTATGTGAGGAATTGATAAAATAGTGAGACAGAGGCTGGCTCATATCTTCATTCAAATCCAGTTTTTCAGGTGGAACAACTCCATTTTCTCCTCCACTTAAGTATCTCATAAATCCATCCACTGATATCTGTCCTGGGAGAAGAGAAATTCAAAAGTCATATTCTTTACCTCCAATATGCTCCACTTGCAGCTCACAAGCTCATTTGGATTAAATAGTTCCAAAAGGCAAAACAACACATTATTTCTTGTATCAGCAGCAAAATTTCTGTGGTTCCTTCCACCTTTATTGCTATTGATCTATTAATGACTTGTTCAAACAAGGTATCCTCCAGATGTCTTAGCACTAAAATTCCAAGAAATCCCAGCAAATATGGCCAAGTTCTTTTCTTCTAAGAATTGGATGTAGAGAAATAAATATAAGTTTTATCTAAGTCAACCATACTCGCTCTACTATGTATTCCTCAGACTGTATTAAACAGTGAATTTCTCAGTGCTCCAAATGTCATAAAAGATAAGGATCTCATTGCAAGGGAGGAACACCTGTTATTTTCATCAGATTTCTTTAATAACCATTTCCTAGGAAGGTCAAAATAAGAAAGAGAAAGAAGCAACCAACCCATACATACAACATGACTTCAACATTTCTCCTTTTAGCTTTATATTTTAGTTGTCAAAAAAAAAAGGAAACCGTTTAATGAAGGAAGTTTCAGAGTAAGTACTTCTTCCCAAGGAAAAAAAAAACATGTTCCTAGAAATCTATGAATCTGTGTCCTAGTGATTATACTGCAGATTGATTGCACTATCTCGATTCTAGTAGCAGCCACAACGATGCCCCATGTACTCATGTGATTAACAGCATGACTTCTGCCAGCTTTAGTTTGGCTCCTGTCTAGGCAATCACTCAACAAAGGAAATAAACATACTTGTTTACTTGCAGAAGCAAGTTTGAACATTATTCTCCCGCTTCTCTGTTTGGGTTGAATTTAAGTGTTCAGAAATTACATATTCAAAAACATCTATAAAAATATGGCATAACAGGCTGGCGAACATCCCAGCCGGCTCAAGGATGGCTGGCAAGCTCCACAATTGCTCTGGTTATTAAACAGAGGAGGTTTACAGATGAAGAAATATGATTAAAAGATGTTATTCTCAGCTGCAGCTTCATGCAGCTTCCGGAAGTTCCGTCTAATCTCCTGCATTCTTCATAAAGATGCACATATCTGGATCAGAGAGGTTGTACTGCTTGCAAGTAGCAGGACAAAGACTTTCCAAGCCAGAGGCTGTTTAATGTCTCTTATTATAGTTTTTTTCCCCATATTCTCATCAAGATATTTTCACTGTATACATGGATTATCACTGCATGAGAGGATGACTGGGTATAAGCCTGTTGATCCAACACCTTTTGTTATAGCTTCATCAGGATCTATGTGCTGGCAGCTCCTCATAGAAGTTCTCCATGATATTTTGAATCTTGGAAGAACAAGAGTTTTAACAGATGAGTAACTCAGTGCAGAAACAGCCATGCCATCAGTCTTCACTCCCAAGAAGTGGAGAACAGCAGGGGCCATCATAAGACAACAAAAAGGGCAGAATAAATCCCTACTCCATCCTCGATCCTTGCTCCATTCTTGATCACAATGTGAACACCTGAAGAAATCTGCATTCAGCTCAAAGACTAAGGCAAAATTGGCAAGGTGCATTGAAAGAATCAAGAATGTTAAGATACTTTCTTGGGGGGGAAAAAACACAAGAAAAACTACCTTTCAAAACTCAGAAATAACAAACCTAACAGAAAATGAACCCTTTTTTTAAAACAACAACTTAGAACAAGAATGGGCAAAAGTCATCAAGCCCACTTTCAAAATCACACTTTCAAAATCTGGTAACAATATATAGAAAGTTAAAAGAAAAGAACCTGTAAAACATCTCAAAATTCAAATATCGTAACCTGGTGCATTCATTGGCATCATGGGGTCAAAATAAACCAGCAAGCGGCATTCTTAACAAAGTCTTAACTTGATCCCCGGACCAATCCATAACCTTCAACTCAATACCTAGCACCTCAATAAAAATAATAAGTGCTAATTCCTATTAAAAACATAAATATATGTGAATTTAATATACATCATACTAGAAGAGAGTCTGAAATATGTATAGATGCCATAAAAAGATGGCATTTTTACTTAATAACACATGCCATTTTTATTCTCCATCTGAGTCATTGTTTTAAGCTTCTTTCTGTAACTGTGTAGAACTCAAAAGAAGGAGTAACATGATTTCTTGTGCAATGTAGCTGGGGAGTGAATACTCTGACCTGTTCAACTGATACATATTTCTGTAATTAACAAAAATGTAGGTTAGAAGATGAGCTTATTTTAAGAAGATTCCTGCAATCTATTTATACATGTATCTGCACATGAATTATTCAAGAGTAATGTGCATATTCTTTAATCATCTATTAAAGAATAGCTTCTTTCTAATAAGCTGGAAAAATCCTTTTCTTCTTCCTTCTGTTTGTTTTTCAAGAAATAAGTTTAAAATGCGATCATTTGTTGTTGTTTTTTAAAAAAAACCAAACACCCCTCATTGTCTTATTTAACAGATCGGATGTTCTGAAGGCTATTTGAATTCTTTTATCTGAGGTTGTCTTAGTTCTTAATTCCTTATCACAAGAAACTTAAATTATTTTTTTTCCCATTCAAGCTTCAGATCATAGAAAAATGAATCAAGAGTTTTTTTTTCTCTGTTCAGGGATAACTGTCTTTGCTGGTCAAATCTTGTTAGACTTCCTAAAATTAAGATGTCCTCGTAGGGATAGGGAAGAAATGTTGAAGAAGTTACAATAGAAGCATCCATTAATATAGCACCTTCATTTTTAAAGTACAAATTAACTTGGCAAAATTATAATTATTAAATATATATTGTTAAAATACTGCTTCCAATATAAAAATATACTGAACCTATTTATAAAATATAAAAATACAATTAAAACCTCCACACTCTAAAATGCATATAATTGTATGCTTAGTGTCCCTTTCTTATATTATTTTCTCCACTGAGCATCTGAAATTCGCACTGATATCTTCTAAATTGTCTCTACATTGCTCTGTATGAGACTGAAATATTGCTTATGTTTTCTGGGTGGGAGAATTATACTTGGCATTTTTTTTGTCCACTAAAAAGAATCCATTTTTTGTGAGTGCTTTTAGGGCAAAGAGCTTCCAATCAAAAGCCATTCTGTCTCTGTCTCCTTAGTAATAACAAAAAATAAATTAGTTAGCAGGTCTGTGCAGAGATCCAGATATGAAGGACAACATTGATATGGAGTGTCTACTGCCACACACCTGCACCTATAAGGAACATCTTAAAGATGCTATATCTTTACCTGGGATGGTAATGAGCCCAGCCAGTTTAAGTATGCTATGCAGATTCTTAATCACATTTTATTTTTCAGGTCGGGATCCCTTCACACATCTAACATAAGCACATTATCAAAAACAAATGAAAACAAAGAGAAGCAAAATGTAGTTTTAGCAGTGTGCTGATGCTGCCTGTCATCAGTCTAGAATGTAGAACTTGGGGCAATTTAATTTTTTTTTAACAAAAAGCTAGGGGTGAATCTAACAAACAGCACTGTGACATATGCAGAGAAAACTGGTGATGGAACTGAGGAAATAGGAAGCTCTTTCTAGGAAGTGAGGAAATAAGAAGCTCTTTCTAGAAAGTTCTTGCTCTCTTTACTGCTCTATAAAGACTTAGTAAGACCACACTTGGAATACTGCATCCAGTTTTAGTCACCACACTATAAAAAAGATGTTGAGACTAGAGTGCAGAGAAGAGCAACAAAATGATTAGGGGCCTGGAGGCTAAAACATATAAAGAACGGTTACAAGAATTGGGCATGGCTAGTCTAGTAAGAGAAGAACCAGGGGTGACGTGTTAGCAGTGTTCCAATATTTGAGGGGCTGTCACAAAGAGGGGGACAACCTATGTTCCAAAGCACCCAAAGGCCAGACAAGGAACAATGGATGGAAATTGATCACGGAGAGACTCAACCTAGAAATAAGGATACATCTTGTGACAGTGAGAACAATTGACCAGTGGCACAGCTTGCCTTCAGAAGTTATGGGTGCTTCATCACTGGAGGCTTTCAAGAAGAGACTGGACAGCCACTTGTCAGAAATGGTATAGAGTCTCCTGCTTGAGCAGGGGGTTGGACTACATGACCTTCAAGTCCCCTTCCAACTCTGTTGTTCTATTCTATTCTATTCTATTCTATTCTATTCTATTCTATTCTATTCTATTCTATTGTCAGTTTATTATTTTTGTATTTTTTCCCTCACTATGGGATGATGTTTCTGAGAACTAACTCCAATCGCTAGGATTTTTCAGCATAAAAGTTACTTTGCTCTGTCAGCCTCTTCCTTTATTATTTGCCTATCCTCAGATGATCAGAGCGACTCTCAAGTTATGTAAAGGCAGTTCAAGCAAAACCTGCAAGATTTCACCCTATTGTTCTCTGGAAGGCCAACAAAATTCTCAGTATCATTTTATCTTTCTGATACCAATCAGAATTGAAATATTCAAGCTGAGACTCTGACAGATGTTCAGGAAGACTGTTCCTATGAACATGCCCTGTCTTTTCAGAAAACAGTCTCTTCTTTTTGTATATAATATTTTTTTTTCAAAAGCATTCATATTTAACCTCAGAAAAATAAATTATTACACTGCCTGTTCACAAATAAGCCAGAATTCTGAAGAATTCTAATTGGCCTGTGATTTAGATGCATCCATAATTTTTTTATGCTCCCATCTATCAGAAAAATAAATTATTTTTCTGAGAAATGGGAGCATCAAAAAACTATGGATGCATCTAAATCACAGACCAATTAGAATTCTTCAGAATTCTGGCTTATTTGTGAGCAGGCAGTGTAATAATGCACTTACCTTCCTAATTGGCTCACCCATATTTCAATATAGAGATGGGTGAATCTGTGATATGCTTATTGTTGACCAAGCCATGCAACCTGGCTTGTTTACCTCCCAAAAGCCTGAACTTTGGGTTTCTGAAACCAAACTGAAGTTTTTGATTTCTAACCCTAGACTGTTCTAAGAGGGATACATCAAAGCCA